TTCTCTGTAGCTTTGGAGCCTGTCCTGGAAATTGCTCTGTAGACCATACTGTCCTTGAACTCATAGAGATCCACTTGCCTCTGCCTCCAGAGTGCTGGGATGAAAGGCATGTGCCACCAGTATAAACCAGAAGACACCAAACCTCACATGGCACCTACTCCGTGTGTCTAGCAGGCCAGGGTCTATTTTAAGGCTCTGTGTGACCCTCACAGCAACCCTCTGAAGTGGGTACCAATCTTGCTTTATTTGCATAGACAGATGAGGAGTGGACATACATGTTGAGTGTCCTCCACTCCATTGCTCCTTCTACCACAGAGAACTAAGCCCTGGATGGAGAACAGGAACTCCAGCTGTGGTGGCAAAAAGAACTAGGTGTAAACCTTGGCCATATTACCTAACTGATGACCTCCCATTTTCAGAAAAATGGGATCCATATCAGTTTGATAATCTACATCAAAGTTAGCTTGTAGGAGAGCCTCAATAAAATGCAAATCCCTTTCCTTCCAATAATCATATTCCCATCACTGTCTTTTTCTGCATTTGAACATACATACTAACATGGATACATGTAGACACCCTGAAAGAGGGCCTTAGTTTCTCAGAACTCTTATTGTAAGCACAGACATTGTAAGCAATGTGGGGAAATAACTTATTTTTATAGAGCTTTTACTATATGTAAGACACCTTTTTATTATCTTTGGAGAGTGATATACCCCACACAATAGTTTGAGTTCTCAGCTCCCGATCCTGATTTTGGCCATCTCCAAGGAGCATTCACAAAATATGTAGCCCATTTTTATTTCTGCATACCTGACTATGGATTTAGTTTAAAGGACTAGCAGTGACAAGCACAATTTCAACAGTATTGGAACACCATGACACACAGAATACTTCAAATCAATTGTCTATAGCACAAAGTAAGTGTCTAGAAGGATCCTGGTCACATTATCATTGCCAAAGAATAACCTCATGTTAATCACATAAATAGATTTCAGTGTGAAAGTGTTTCACGATGACATTCACTCATTCATTCATTCATTCATTCAATAAATGTTCAGAATGAAATACAAATCAGAAACTTTGGAAGTCACACAGAATGGCTTAAAACAGAGCCCCGAACTCAAGGAACTCATCCAATTAAAGAAAGGAGTGAAAACAAAAAACTTTTACATATAGCACAATGAGCATTGTTACTGTTTTTCTCTGACTAAATATTTACTGAAGTAGTCATCGTGTCGGGGCATAAGTAAGATAGAAAAGAAAAATGCTCACAAACACCCCAGCTGAACAAGCCCCTTCCTGTGGGTCTAAATTTTGCTCCCTGATTCAGCACATGACAGGCAACTCTATTTCCTGTGTATTCACTGGATAAAACTGCTCTTCAACCTTGACACTTCCTGTCCCTGATCTTTATGCCCTGCTCAGGTCTACCCATAACCAAGTCCTATTAGTCCTTTTTCAATATGGACTATATCGACCCCCACAGTTGCACTAAATCACTAACCTGAAGTGATGTCCCCATAACTTTCTGGACTCCATACTCTTTAGCACCGAAATTCAATCACAGTTGACATTCATAGAGTCACCAGGCATCTTGCGCTTTCCATTGCCACCTCAGAACCTCTTCCATGTTGTCCTCTGATGGAACTCTTTCCTGTACCCCTACAGCAGAAGCATCTCCAGGGAAACGTAAAAGGCCATGTGTCTGGAAAGCCCCTTCAAAACATCCATCTCCTCCCCTGCAGGACTCATCACATGCTGTGTGCCCATTTGCACTTGTGTGACTATCTGACTAGTGAGGAAGCTTCACAAGAATGGAGTATGGGGTCAGGTTTGCACACTACATACACCTAGCACCCGGCACAGTGCCCGCTGTTATTACAGTCTGTGAACACCAAAGCAACTCGACATTATATTCATTCAGACATGGGGACACACACTTGCTAGTTTTAGGAGAGTGTATGGCTAATCTTTCGAAATCAGGCAGCAAGTTTATCTGATCACCAAGAGAAAGAACAGCTTCATTGCCCCTAAAATGCTCTGAGTACCTCTAAAAGTCAGAATTTGGATAGAGTTTTGCCCTTCAGCTTTCCTTTCCATTCTAGCTCAGTCTCTCTATGACATAAAGGAGTCTTACAGAAACGGGCTAGACCATCCAGCACAGAGCGCAGCAGCCCAGGTACCAATCCTCTGTCTGTGGAGATGCAAGGTCAAAGCTTAAAGTGGTACTGTGACACTGTCATGTCAGCAGACTTTCTTTCAGTTCAGCACGTTTGTTAGTAGGTGTCTCAAGCAGCCAGTTCCTCACATCCAACCTGGTTATCAACCATGCTAGGGGTTTCTCCTTTGAACTGCTGATAAGAGGCTCATGGTGGAAGATATCTCAGTGAGAAGTTTCTCCAGTGCTGTGGCTCATCACCAAACCAAGACATCAAAAAACGGTAAACAAAAGTGTCCTGAGTCAGAAGCTAGAGTGACGACCTTCTGTGGGGACTGCAAACATTTGTCCTACCTGATAAGGGACAGTGAAGGGGAGCTAGTGACGTCAGGGCAGGCTTTCCACTGCTGCCATTGGTCTGGTCCTTCAGACCATCTCAGTATTGACAAGTCTACTCCAAAAGCCTGGCACAGACAGCAGACGGCCAACGTGGCAGTGACCCCTGGGTTGGGAAAGTGAGTAGCAGCTGCCCATGCAACTTGAAACGCAATTATCGTCTATCTGAGGAACTGATTTAAAGTCTCATCTAAAGTGTGCCTCAGATAAATGAATGGAGTGTTTGCATGGAAATCAATCTAACATTATCTTCATGTTAAAGTGCCTCAGTTTCCCCAGTGAGTACTACTCACACTTGGATAGCAAGACAATCTGGTTATCTAACTCACTGTTTCTCATAGAAATTGCCTTCCATGGAAACATTTTGAAGGGCTAGGGAGATGACCCAGTTCATAAGTGCTTGCTGTAAAGCCTAGGGACCTGAGTTTGATCCCCAAATAAAAAAGCCAGACATGCTGATGGCTGTCTGCCATCTAGCACCAAGGAGGTAAAGACAGAAGGGCTCTTGGGACTTTCTGGCCAGCCAGTCCAGCTAAATCCAGGTGCTGTGGGGCAGTAAGAAATGTTACCTAAAAAATAAGGCGGAGATTGGATGAAGGAGACATCTAGTGTTGACCAGTGGCCACCACATGTGTCCACTACACACACACACACACACACACACACACACACACACACGTGCACACCACACATGTGCACTGTGCACGCAGGCACACATGTGAAAGCAAACACACACAGTCTCAGGGGGCTCTCAGAAAAGAACCCTCCACATTTACTCCAGTATTTAGTGTTGCTTCTCTGTCCCATACTGAAACACAGTTTAGAAATAACATCTAGGGAGAACTAGAACATTTCCAATAAACAGCCCCTAACCTGAGGCTTTGCCATCGACAAAGCTTACTTGCTTATCTAGGTGAAGGATGGGCCTGTGACTACAAATCCAGCTTTGAGAGTGAGGCCAGCTTAGGCTAAAGTGCATTCTAGGCCAGTGTGGGCTGCTGTGTGAAGCCCTGCCTGAAAACAAAAGTATGATAAGCTTGCTAACAGTAGGACTAGAAGACAATTCATGAAATTGGAACATGCTTTCTTCCTTATAGTTTTTTTTTTTTTTTTTTTTCAGGTGAAGATGCAATCACTTTAAAAGCAGAAACCCACAGATACACTTTATTTTTTATTTTCCCATACAACAGCCATCTTATGGAACACACAGGGGCACACAGCACATATGACATGTCAGTGAAACTCTTAGTGCCATATAATTAAATTAGTGATGCCATGACTATGAATACAGCACATTCTCAAATGTCTACATTCCATTACAGATTCAAGGTTGTCATCTCTGGGGACACCTTTTTCTTTTTCTCCCCCCAAATAAATGATGTTTCACTTCCATTAAAACAATATATTAAAAAATAACAATCCCAATAACATTTGTCACATATTATAAAACACACCTAAAGAAATCCATCAAGTTTGACCATCACAACCCTAAATGGTGACATTGTATTTTTAAGAGCCTAAGCACTATGAAGAGAATTCTAGAAATAGCTAAAGTATAAATCTAGACTGGAGGATCTTGGGTTACAAAAGAATTATAATCTTTAGAAAACACAGCTAACTTTGTTAAATTTGTCAAGAAGGCTCATTGTAAACCACTATCCAAGAATATGGAATATTTCGAGTCTGGAATGTTTCCACTGGGTTATAAAATGCTCTTGGTTTTGCTTTAGTCTGCTTAATGGAAACCATAGCTAGCTCCTCTATCAGATGCTCGATGCACAGATGTGAAAAGCCCCTGCCCCCTTGGCAGTTTTGAGAACATCTGTTTCTACATCAGTGATTCTAGTCCTTCAAAAACCAAAAGTCCTATGTATATCTATTCAACCCCACAGGTACTTCTTGTGTCTTTACTTTTTTTTTTAATGTTCTTTGGACAATGGTCAAGTTAAAAAGATAGGGAAGACAAATTTTTTTTTTTGTTTTTTTTTTTCTTCTTTAGTAGACGGGGCAAACACCCATTCTCACCTTCACTCATGGGACATTCTTTTTTTTGACTAAATTTCTGTGGGTTTTGTTGAATGGTGTCACCTGAAGGCAGGTCTTCTACAACTATGTATCTTTTCATAACTTTTATTATAGTCAGTGATTTGCCAGAAGCTGTAAGTTGTGAAACTGCCGCTGCCGGCTGGTTTTGCAGGGTTTCCTTTTTCTATTAACCACTGTCCAATGTTCTGATCAGACATAAAACCATTTGCAAAAGAAAAATGCAATTGGGATCTGGATAAATAATCTCAATGTCTGATAATATATCCAACTGGCCTTTTAAAAGTTATCCATGTAGTCTTTTCAAACATTTTAATTTGTAACGAATAAGCAAACAACACAATATAAAGAAGAAAGCAAACACTAATGCCATCTGTGAACATTTATGTAAAACCAACTGTACCTTAATTATTTATCCAGTCCTGTGCAGTCTTTCATGAATTGTTTGGGATGGCAGACCCCAGTCACAGAGGTGACGTATCTGAACGTTTGGAAAACAAGACAATGATTTAAAGGCCAGTGGGAGTGAACGACACAAGCCAATCAACACCAACACCTTCTTGCCCCAACACCTCCCTCAGTCCAGCTTGCGTCAGCTTAGAAGAGAGAGGCTAACTTGGTTTGCAGTCATACACTTGGCTTTAACATTGCTCACACCAATTTCTATTTGCTTTTAGAATTGTGGCTTTTGTACAATTAAGCTCTAATTGGAAGTTTTACTTTTGTGTCACACTGCATTCAAAGTCCTAATGTGTGGTCAGCAGATTGATCATGAGGCATTAATTTTTCAAGTTGTAAGAACTAACAAGGGAAAGGAAAACAGAGCAGAGATTAAACCATCACACTGCAGAATGTCATAGAATGTACAGACGATACTGGTTACACCGGAGCATTGCTTTCATTTGCATTGTTGACCTGTTGGAAGAAAATTGACAGACTGACAGAACTTCCAGCACGACTTACTAAAGGAGCCAGTGAGTTGGAGGTTGCAGCCCACTGTCAACCATTGCTGCCTCACCGCAGGCTGAGTGCTGGGTAAGCAAGCTGTGGGATGTTGTCAAAGAATTTCTAGATGTGCATATTTTCTCTTTAAAAAGAAACAAACCTACTTAGGTCTGCTCACAAATAATGTATCTTCAATTAAAGTTTATCAGCTAGATAGTCTGAAAGGGAGAGGAGAAAGACATGGAAACCAACCCAGATTCAGGCTCTTTGCCTTTTAAATCTTTATGGCTTAAATAAACCTCATAGCCAATCAGAAGCTCTGATCTGTCTTGACAGTCTGTCAACGCCTGTTCCTACAAAAACCAAACATTGTCCTCTGGTTAGGAAATTCCCAAGTTGGTGCAACACACAAATCATTAGAGGGTCACAGGCCCATCCACTCCTCTCTTCCCCTTTTGCCTGCCAACTTGGTCTATTAACTCTAAGATGCTGAGTTTATTCTTACTGAAATGGAGTGTACTTTACTTCTAGAGTTCTATGGACTACCACCTCCCCACCACCACCCCACCACCACCCCACCACCACCCCCGGTGCCCCAGGATGAGAGCTATCATAATCTAGGGAGAAACGATACTACTCATGAATTTCAGGGAAATTTGAAAAAAAAAATCCCTTTCAAATGACCATTTCTACTGTTCAATTGTAATCTTTCCAATTTAGGATTTTATCCTGTTTGCAAAGTTATCAAATGAGAAAAGTGAGCAAAGATTTGCAGTAATTTTTAGAAAATTAAATGCTTCTAGCAAAATTCCATTTCCTAGTGGGTCAATTGAGCCAGCATAGATATATTCCCAAGAGAGAGACTTTACTACACAGGGTTCTTGCAATAAACAGGGAGCTGACAAACACATATATACTTCAAACATTTCACTTTCCTTACTATTTTATGTTTCGGCTTCCTCATAATTCTTACTTTTAGATGTAATGAGGAATGATAGCAATTAATATGCTAGGTTAAAATTACAAACATACATCCATGTCCAACCCATTCTATGCAACAAAGTTCTAATCCCAAAATTCCTACCACTGACTTCAAATCAAATCCACACACATGGAAACTAGCTCAAATGGCCAAGGCCCTGGTCTGTGGTTAGACCATTTGGTTTTTTTATAGACTATTTTCACACATTCAAATGTGACCATATTATAAAGACATTGGTCTGGTCTTGACAAAATGGAGAAAAACTCCACTTCTGTAAGTGGAGTCATATCTGTGATAACTTAACCAGTCATATCTGTGATAACTGAACATCCTGGTCATTTCTTACAGTTATGTCATAGTGTAATTTCACATACATCTGGTGGTAGATTTATGCTGTTTTGACTTTTAAAACACAGTAAATACAATATGCCCAGTCAGGTTCTAATATGGTTGACCTATCATTATAGAAGGAGGTAAAACATCACAAACTTGGTCTTTTAATGGTGAAAAAATGATGGGTAGGCGTGATGGCACACACCTTTAATCCCAGTATCTGAAAGGCAGAGGCAAGCAGATCTCTGAGTTCAAGGCCAGCCTGATCTACATATTAAGTTCCAGGTTAGAGGATAGCCGGGGCTGCATAGAGAGAGACATTTTCTTGAAAATTAAAAATAAAGAAGGAAAGTGATGTAGGTTATAAGGGTGGCTACAAATGGAAAATATCTGGATAAGGAGGTGACAGACTTTAACTGATCCCCTTTAAAAGGAACTCATAAGTAAATGATTTCACAAATGGGGACAGTTGCTTTGGTCTACATGGGCACAGGGTTGGGACTGAGGACACACATTCCCATAAAGATATCCTTGGCTTCCCAGGGTTCTGTCACAGTTAATAGCAGATTAACTGCACAGTGTCCTCTGGGACTTGTCAAATGAAGAGTTGTTAGGGGCTAAGGTCATCCCAGAAGTTCTCTGGGAGCTTTGGGGCCTCTGGCTAAGAGGAAAGGCCATCTGAGATCCCAATGGGCAGAGAGAAGGCAAAAGGCATCCTGAGTGAAATGGGCCATGTTCTGACAGCGTGAGAACCCTTCTGCCCAGAGTGGAGCCTTCTGACCGGATAGGAGAATGAGCTGAAGTAATCCAGATGGAGGGACACTGAGTCTGGGAACTCAGATGCTGATGACTAGGGCCATGCAACCATCCCAAGAAGAAGACAATAAAGTTGACAGGGTAGTGCCACAGAAGGGATGGGTGGAGCTGGAGGTGGGGACAAGGATGACTGACATAATGGTTTGGGATTCATGTAATCTGCCTGTCTGAGAATAATGACAGAAGGAAGACAAACAATTCAAATTGAAGTCAATGGGAATTTGGCTTCCTTCCTTCCTTCCTTCCTTCCTTCCTTCCTTCCATCCTTAAAACTTTTGTAGCCAGATGGTGGTGGCACATGCCTTTAATCCCAGCACTTGGGAGCCAGAGGGAGGCAGATCTCTGTGAGTTCAAGGTTAGCCTGGTCTACAGAGTGAGTTCCAGGACAGCTAGAACTGTTTCACAGAGAACCCTTGTCTTGTAAAATAACAACAAAAAGCAAAAAAAAAAAAAAAAAAAAAAAAAAAAAAAAAAGAAACTTTTGTACCACTTTTTCTAGATCACAATGTAGGCTGTGGATTTTGAATGACTGCATTAGGGGAAACCAGGAACTTCAGATCTTTTCCTCACATAGTGAAGGGTTTCCATTCACATTTGGCTGTTAGCCTCAAACAGAGAAGATACTAGGTTGTACATCCCAAGCGGATGTCATTAATTTGTAAGCATCAAACTATTGAGTCAAAAGAGACTTAGAACACATCAATATGTTGAATCAGAACTTTTCTCACCCATATTTAAAACAGCTAACATACCCTGTTTGAAATTTCAGCTTCAACAGTGTCCTCAAAGGGACTTCAGAAAATCAATCAACAATGAAAAACAAAGACCCAGAGCCACCTTAGCTAGATCACCTCAGCATTTTTGCAACAACACAGAAGATAACTTCTGTTCTTTTCTTGACTGTATCTGATTTCTAATTTTAGTCATGGATCAAAATAATACTTGGAAATGGAGTCTGGTTACAGCCAAGTTCAAGGAAGACACACAACCCCAGCGGTGACTAAGAAGCTAAGTAGTTTACCTTTTAACAATTTTGTAATATTCGAATGCATTCTTTTACTTGCAAGTACACTCTAGTTTTCCTTGCTCCCATTTTAACTTCTCTTTGTTATCTGACCTTTCTTTGTCCCATCCCCAACATTTATGTTATATGTGATGCATTTGCTTATTTATTTATAGAGCCTAGGAATATTGTCTAGGGTAACCTTGAACTTGGGACCCTCCTGTCCCTACTTCTTAAGTGCTGGCATTATGGGTCTGTGACAGCATACCTGACTTATGTAACTTCTCTATAGCATATGGTATATTCGTGATGCAAAAGTCTCCAGGAAGAGCCACTGTCGTTGCTAGCCCTTAGGGTCATAAACTCAAAATCTAATGACATAGATGCCAAGTTTTGTGGTATGTTTTCACAGTGACTGCTTTTGTCCAAGTGTTTTCTTAGTGGTGCAGGTAAGTGGCAAGCCTGGCCCCAGATGTGGAAGCTCACAACATACATTCTGTGGCTTCCTTGTGACCTAGGATCTGCCCTGTGCCTTTTGGTTTCCAGACTCAGAGAACCGAAGAGAATACTCATCTTTTTTTGATGCCACAACTATGGCATTCCAAAGTCATCATTTTATTACTTTGTAAAGTACTGCCTCTTACAAAAAAAGCGGGGGGAAAATCCACAAAGAAATACTATAAAAATGTTCCTACAAAATCCAAATCGCAGACCCCTGTTTTCCATGTCATCAAAAGAGTGAACCAAGCATTCCCACGTGCCCCGCATTCTTCTCACCACTTGCCAGTAGTGAAAGTGCACGTGTGCCGTGTGGATATCTTCCCATGCTCTGTATCCTTTGCCTCAACTTACATATTAAAAAAAAAAAAAGTAACAGAACACAACATTGAATATTACCTTAAAGAGCCACATGCATCACACAACTGTAAGCAGAAAAGGTTTTGCTTTGTCTGCCTGACTCTGACTTTCTTCAGTCTCTCCCTCTCCCTCTCCCTCTCCCTCTCTGCTTTTTGAGGCAAGTAAGGTCTCATGCATCCTAGTCTCCAACTTGCTGTACAGCTGAAGATGATCTAGAACCTCTAACTCTTCTGCATCTACTTCCTGAATGCTGGCATTCCAAGAGTGCGCCACCATACCCAGTTTATTAAGTACAGGGGAGGAACTCAGGGCTTTTTGCTTGCCATGGAACCCCTCTTCCAACTCTGTCCCCAGCCCTCCTCCATAAACATGTCAAAATCCTCCATGGAATGTTGGCCTCGGCCTCCTAGTTTTTTTTTTTTTTTTTTTTTTGTTTTGTTTTGTTTTGTTTTGTTTTAAAGAAGGAAATACATTTAATCTAACAAAATCTGAAACAGGATTTCTAAACTGTAGTACATTGCAGATGTTTCTATTTTAAGTTTTAGAATTTCAGTTTTTTGT